ATGAAAAACTAATTAGTCACGTATTTCCTTTCACCAACTGTCTAATGTTTGATCCTTCTTTTTACTAAAGGCTTTCATTTCTTACATTTGTATCAGTGTAAAGATCAGTCTGTGATTCTCTGTTATTAAGGATATTCAATAGATCTGATACACTGACGCAGTGGCTCTCTAACATTTCTCATTAATCTACCCCTTTTGAATTTTGTGTGTCACCTGACCAGCACAAAGCATTTTGGTAGAAAAGACTACAAAGAAGTCCAATACAGTGTCCGATTTATTAAGAAACACTTGTTTGAATCCATCTCTAAATTCATAGCAAACCAATTGTTTATCATTCTGCAATAACACAACAGTATCTGTAAGTTGTATTAAACTGCAAGTCTTATTGATAATCTTCAGCCACTTACAATTTTAATGTGAAAAACTCGTTTAGCATTAACTCTGTGGGCAGGAAACTGCAGTGATCAGGATTGGTTTTTCCAGTAGCGCTCACTTTACCGAGGCAGTTATAGCAGCTGTTGAAGAAAATCATTCAAGTCAATCAGGTTTGCTGTGGTGGATGGTGTTTAACTAAAGCTGCCGGCATCCTGGTGAACTTACATTCACTTACATTGGGGGGGCGAGCCAGCTGCCACCTCTCATTTGGTTAGCAATTAACTAAAATTTTCCTCCTCACAGCATTGTGGTTTATTGAACTTACATTTTGTTACTGAACTTATAGTATACTTATTGTAGAAATTATGCATGACCCATTGCAGTACTCCAAAGTTACCCTAGGGGTACATATAGCCCCATTTGAGAAACAATGCATTAAAGGTAACAAATGGAGAATTTGCAGCTGACTAGGACAATAAGTGAATTGTAGTTTAGAAAGAACCTTTTAAATTTAAACAATAGAAGTATGTTCAAACCCTCAAATCTAAACTTTTGACATTTAGATAGCATTTACTCACAGCAGCTCTCTGTTCAGGACACCAATGACACTAGGACTCTTCAGGCTGTAGGTGGCAGTGCCACACTCTCCTTTCTGGAAGAATGTTGGCAGCTTCTGGATCTCATACCACTTACCAATGTACTGCAGAGGAAACAACGTTTCACACACTAAGAAAACTGAGCAGGTACTGAATATTTGGAGAATTGGTTACATTTTAACAGTAATTTAACAAGAAAATGGCTTAATATTCACCTTGGTGGCATCAAAGTTGGCCTGAACAGCAGGCTTGGGACATCTGCCAAACTTTAGGACGTGAGCACTGGCTGCGAGAACAGACAGCAGAGTCAAGAAAATCACCTGCATGGTCTTCATCTTTTCACCTCAACCTGCAGAGAAGGACAACAGACATTAGAAAAACAATTAACTTTACATCCAGACTTGAACATGAGATAATTTCTAAGGGTCAACAACAGAAAGGGAAGAACAGGAGGCGTGCACAGAAATGAAGAGGAAGAGTCACGGCTGCAGAGTGCTCACCTGTATGCAATCAGTGGTCCCACCTGTGTGCAGGACAGTTTTATGAAGCTCTAAAGGACCTGCAGCTTCATCACTGATCACTCTTTAGCCCCTCCTCTGTGTTTACATGTAAAAGTGTGTGTGACGAAGAAGAGGAGTGTGAGAGTTGGCACCTGTTCAAATGATAACACTGTTCAAACAGGCCTTCTTATCTTTTTGTGTTTATCTAGCTCATTCATTCTTCTCTCTCCATTCATTGCAAGGATACCAATTTTTTTTTACCATCTTCTTTTTCAGAAAGGAATCTCGGCCAAAAACAAATAAAAATTACAATTAAAAGAAAATTACAAACAAGATGCATAATGAACACAAACAAGATCTAAACATCTTTTAAAAGAATAAAGCAGTATTAAAGAACTAAAGAAATACATGTTTCATTTTTCCCCCTTCTCTAGTTTGGCTTAAGTTTAAATTAGCAGCTGCCTATTTGCATAGTTTAAATATTTAAAATGTTCTCCCCTCCAAAATCTCAAAGAAATAATTATATGCCCATTCCAACACACATTCACATTAGTGAGAGAGATAGCCGCATGATCTGCCCAGACTTTTAATCTCAATTTAATTATTAAAGAAATATGTGCTTCTTTCAGAGAGTTGGATGAGAGGATCAATACCAGATCAAACCAGCTAGCTCAGCTTTAGCTCAGCATGAAGACTGGAAGTGTTCAGTTACATTTAGCTCGAAGTCTAAAGCCGGAGCTGGGAACGACATCGCACCGAACCAAGCTCTAGGTGGTTAAGCCATCAGCTACAGTTAAATTTATAACTGATTTAATGAGGTACTACACCCAAAAGTGTTTTTTTTGAGCTGTAAACTGAATTATATGACTTAAACTGTGATGAAACACATTAATGCTGGTGCTGCATTAAAATCTAGAGGCGGTAGCCTACTGTTTTGAATCTCCCTTTACATTTTTAAGACGAATGCTGAGAGAGTCGACCGTTTGGGGCAACTCTTTGTCACAACAGGCGGCCCACCTCCTCGATCCTGCGTGGGAGTCTGGAAGGCACCACTAGCCAGGCTAACCTACCTACCAGCACATTTAAAGCTTTTAATGCATACAAAAAAACAAACAAAAAGACACTCCAAGAAGTTATTGCCACTGGCTAAGAAGCAGCCCAACACATTACCACAGGTAAAACCACAAATGTCAAGTAATAAAAAA